ACTACTCTCACCGGGTGGAGTGACCATACAAAAAGGAGATGAAGGAGCAGGAGCTGAGGGAAGAGAGAGAGAGAGGAAGATGGAAGAGAGGAGAATAAAAAATAAAATAAAAGAAATTCCCTATACAAGTTGGGAAAGGTGCAGGAAAATTGACAATCAAGTGGTACATCCATAATCATTTTTTTGACTTGAAGCTCTAAAAAGCATCGGCTGCCCCACCTCCGAACGAGCAACCAGAATATTAAGGGACCTCCATTCCCGGTGTCTCTGGTTCCTTTTGCTCCTCCCCGGTCTTACCTCTCTTTGACTTTGGCGGTGACTTCTTCTCTTCTCTTTTTCCTTGGATCTCAGACTCTTCGTCTCTTGGTTCCACCATTCAGCATTCAGCATCCATTGTGCACCCTCTGGCAGTTGGGGTTTGTGTCGGGGGGCCCTTGCTCACTCGGCCCTTTTCCCCTCTTCCATCGTTTTCCCCCCCCATCACCAGTCATCGTACGACCTTTCTCCTCCGACCTGCTATCTCCTCCATACCTACACCAAATCAATCTCTGGCATACAGAGAATTTATCTTTCCATCCAAACCTTCCTTGAATTTATTCTAAGGATTGTCCCTTTGCTATCGGAGTCCCCCCCAACCCATCGGGATTCGCTGACTCTTCCCGCCCGCCGAGTTTTCCCCACGGGGTTCCCCGTGCGTCACAAATCGGCACCAGAAAGCGGCGACCGTCCACCGTTTACGAGACAACCTCCTGCCCGCTTCCTTTTTGCCGTATGCCAGTATACAATCGGGCTCACGTTTCATTCTGAGCCCTCCGGACCGGCATCCGTCTGCCGATGAGAAGCGGTCCATCTCAGGTCTGATGAACGTTTCCTCTCCAAGCAACATCTTTGCGGGTGATCTTCGGGGTGTCGGCTAAGGCGCAACAATCCACTCGTGGTATCAAGGAAAGAAAAACACAAGGTTTCGAAACAATTGATTGATTATTGCCTGCATCTTCTGGCCAGGATGACCATGGCTCTCGCTGCAATGACCCCGCTGGGTTCGGTGCCGAAACGCGATCATACATCGAGCACAGAGATCGACATGATGACGGAAGCTGATGCACTCCATGCGGCTCTTAATGGACCCCCACGCAAGAGGAAAAGAACCCGAAAGGTTCAGACGGATCGCAAGTTTGAGTGTACGTTTGAGGGGTGTGGCAAGAGTTACTCGCGAGCGGAGCATTTGTACCGCCACCAACTGAACCGTACGCATGCAGTCCTTCCGAGAACTTGTGAGCAAGTACTAACTGGCTTCCGGTCTAGATACTCCCAAGCAGATTTATCGATGCGACTTTCCGGATTGCTACCGCTCCTTCGTGCGACAAGACCTATGTATCCGTCATCGAGAACGCCACACCACCCAGGGATCGCAGCTACAGAAGCGTGATCACTTTGCGCAGACGGCAGCAACCGGCAACAACCCGAAAAAGCCGCAAGTCTCTCAAGTCACGTCACAGGTGAACGCGAACCACGCGCCTACACTCATTCCGCTACCCTCCAACTATTCGCCCGTACAAGCCCCCTCGGAGGGTCCTACAATGACAGTGCCTGCGATGAGTGCATCGAATCAGCACGTACACATGCCATCGCCCTCGGGATCTATGGGCATGGGCCAGGGGTTCAATTATCAGACTCTGGTCTCCCACCATGCGGTGGACCTGTCCGACCCTACGTTTTCCCGATCGAACAGCACCAGTAATCAGACCCTCAGCTCTCCCCCAGGACCGTCAAGCACAACAACGTTTAGTCCTCCGGAGATCCAGGCGGTGCCTCATACTGCGCTCGGCAGTCACTCTGCCGGCAAATCTTCTCCCAATTCGGGCGACTTGAGCAACGAGGTTCGGTCTCATCACTCCGTACCCGAAACAACCTCCATAACACACGATATCGACGGCCCTTCGTTGGCTCATCCCACCGCCTATTCAGGCCTACAACTCCCTCCCGCGGGATACACAGACATATCGATGGCTCCAGCGACGTCGGCTTCGACGGCTCTGGACAACGGAACACTAGAGTCGATGTCAGAGATGATGACATCCGGTCCATCAGTGGGAGATGCCGGCTTCGACGCGCTGGCTTCTTGTGTCTACCCGGTGTTTGGCGGCGAAGCCCACAACCGTTCACCCTTCGCTATGGCGGATGATTTCACAGCGTGGCTGTTCAACGATCCCGTGACAGGCTCTCCGTCCATGGGGTACCCTGCCCCTACTAACGTGGTGCCAAATTACTTGGACGCTGTCCAACTACAGAACCAGTTCTTCATGAGTGATCCTGCCTATGGCAGCTTTCTCAGTGGTGTGATTCCGCATCATCCTATGAGTGTTACAAGCATTCTGGATCCGGGATCGCCGCGCGCCATCATGTCAGAGGAGAAGAGACAAGAACTCCTGGCCCTCATGAGCTCGAGGTTCAATGAGGCCTTCTACGCAGTGTCTGCTAAGCGCAAGGATGCTTTAATGGACGGCGACATTGACGACGACGACCATGTGCTGAGTCTACGGATGATGCAGATGTACATCGGCTCGTATTGGTACCACTTCCACTCTCAGTTGCCCATTCTACATCGTCCAACCTTCGAGGCAGACAAAGCGCCTAATCTTCTTCTGCTCGCAGTGATGGCCATTGGCGCATCCACGCTGGATGGAATCCACGGATCGGAAGTAACCGAGGCAGCAGCTGAGCTGGCGAACTTTATCGCCTGGCATCTGCGAACGGAGCTTTTCATGGATGCTGACTTTCGCCCTCCAGCTAAGCTGTGGATCTTCCAAGCACTCCTGCTGCTGGAGGTATACGAAAAGATGTATTCCACGCGTGCGCTCCATGAGCGGGCGCATATCCACCACGACACCACACTCACACTGATGCGGCGGGGTAGCTCATTGATTGGCCGCTCTGCATTAGACTCTCCTGCAAGCTTTCGAGACGACCGGCAGGCCCGGTCAGCTTCTGGATCGACCATGGCGCCAGACTTTGTGGCTGAAGAATCATGGACTCACTGGATCAAGGCGGAGGCCACGAGACGAGTGGCTTTTGCGGCTTTTGTTCTGGACTCTACCCACGCCACTATGTTCGGGCACTCGGCTAAGATGGTGGCTCACGAGCTTCGGTTACCATTGCCCTGCGATGAGGCGCTGTGGTCTGCGACTAGCGCCTCCGAGGTAGCCCGCGTGCAATCGAGCCTGCACGCTAATGGAGTCAAGCCTGTCATGTTCTTGGACGGCCTTAAGAAGACGCTTAACGGACAGCGGGTCCGGACAAATGCTTTTGGACGAACCATCCTCATGGCTGGTTTGCTTAGCGTCAGCTGGCATATGAACCAACGAGATCTCCAGGTGAGCTCACTGGGTGGGCCACCAGCATTGGGAGGCCGGGACAAATGGCGGTCAGCACTGTTGCGAGCCTTTGACAATTGGCGGCGCGACTTTGATGAAGCGTTGGGTCAGTCCCCGTCAGGCCCTTTTCATAGTGGATACCGTACCCGACACCCTCTGGACGACGACAACGTCTTCGAGTCGCGCGACGTGCTTCATGGACTGGCGCACATGGCTTCTCACGTTGATATTGTTGACTGCCAGATCTTCGCTGGGGCTAATCGGCTCATGGGACGGTCTATCACCCCGAGAGACTACAAGGCGGCGCGCGAAAAGATGGTTGTCTGGGCCACCAAGGCTACTGCCCGCGACGCCACGTTCTATGCTCTAAAGTTCCTATCGGAGTGCCTCCTGGATGAGAGACGAGCACTGAACGAGGATGGGGAACTGTATTCAGGTCGGGACGACTACCTCTTGAACCGGCCGTGGGTGCTGTATGTTGCGGCTCTCGTGGTCTGGTGCTATGGATTTGCACTTGAGGGGCCCTTCAAGTCTCCTGTCAAGTTGAGCTCTCCTGCTGCGCAGCGGCAGGACATGCAGGAATATCTGCGCCGGATGGACAGTGTTCGTGAGCCCAGCGACTTGGAAGGCATGCAAGGACGCAACCGCTGTCTGGGCTTGTTGTTGGTCCTCCGTGACGGGTTCACCAACACGCGCTGGGAGTTATTGGCGGAAGCTGCCAACCTGCTCACCAGTTGTATCGACAAGCTGAACGGAGCAGCTTTTTGATTTCCACTGTTTCCCTCAAAATTTATAATTCCTTTGTTAATTCTTCTACATCTTTTCTGTGTATATAGCGTTTGAGGGGGGTTTTGTTATTCTCTACATGGTTGTACTTGTGTTTTGACAAGCACCTGCTGCCTTGTTTGCTGTATTCTTCTGCGTGGCTTATGTTGTTGGCTGTCTGAATACTTTGCGCATGTGTTATGACTTGGATACCATTGGGATGGATAGCGTTGCATGTTTGTATTATTGCAATATTAGTACCTACTGTGTGTATCTTCACAGACGCCAGTCATGTTCCATGATCAATGCTAGTAGGAACTAGTGTAGCCTGATGTTGTCATCGTATCAGACAAGCGCAGATCGATAGGGGGGTTGTCGTGCCTGAGGTGTCCGGTTACCACAACAACAACCGGGCAAACAGTGCCGCCGGACTCTCCTCCATCCCGCCCGCCCTTCTCCTTTCCCTGTTCCCTCATTCTGCCCTCCTCCTTCATTCCAAACCATACGTGGTACTCCTGCCATTGCCGTTCCGTTTGTTTAGATCGTCATTCACATCCCCCTGTCGCTATCCCTCGCAGCCCGCTGCCGCATACTCCTCACGCAATTACCGCAATCAACACAATAAACAGTCATGGTACGTGGCCGTCTCGCAATTTCGCAATGTCAATAAGAAGCATCGTCCCTCGCTGGCGGGAGAAGAATTGTCCGGATGGCATCAGGAACGAGCAGTGCTCTGTATCCCTTGTTTGTTGACTGTCGTGGTGAACCTCGGGGATCGCTCGTGTGGTTGGATCCATTGAATTCCGGCCCCTCGTCGGCCCATCCAATCCCTTTGCTCGTTTCCATGGTTCACTAGTAGTCGTGGCTGCTTGTTCGTCATCGGCACTCTTCAACTCCCTGTCTTCTTTCCATCCTCATTTCATCTCTGATCACTACTCTCCATCTCGAATTCCTGCCCTGTGATTTCGTTTTCAAGATGTCCCGCTCACCAGAAATGCACCATGACCAGGCCTCGACCAACTACAAGGAAGCCTTCTCTCTCTTCGATAAGCGCGGTACCGGCAAGGTCGCGCTCGAGTCGCTGGGCGACCTCCTGCGCGCATGCGGTCAGAATCCCACTTTGGCGGAGATCGCAGATCTGGAGAAGTCCGTCGGTGGAGACTGTACGTATGCCCTGATTTGAGATGGCTGATACGGATCTAACATGCTTTGCGCAGTTGACTTCGAGTCGTTCTTGAAGGTCCTCAACCGCCCTGGAGGCTTCCGTGACCCCGGCGAGCCCGAAGAATACTGCCGCGGATTCCAGGTGTTCGACAAGGACTTGACTGGGTTTATCGGTGTGGGACAGCTTCGTTACAGTATGTGAAGCAGGATAGGATGATTAGAGTGATACTGATGATGGCTATAGTCCTGACGAATCTCGGAGAGAAGATGTCGGATGAGGAGGTCGACGAGCTGCTCAAGGCCGTCGACACCAGCTCCGGCGAGATCAACTACACCGGTAGGCTACCGACTCTGTGTTCACCACGCCTCTGTTTCGGGTCAAACTAACAGTAGCAGACCTCGTCCGCACCATCCTGGCCAACTAAACGACACACGACACCGATACCCTCCTGACGTTCCTGATGATTTCTGTTACGACGCGAACCTCCTACCAGCCGTGCCGGAGTTGAAGGCTTGAGCATAGTTTAGTTATAGTGCATTGTATATGGGATATTGCGCGATTCAGCATCGGATAAACATGAATAAATATGGTAAATGATACATGGTATATGAAGTAAAGTATAGTACAAACAACTCCAACTTATATCACTTCCCTCCCAATACATCGCCCCATCCATAGACTATGCTATGCGCACAGCACAGCATCAAAAACAGACAGACAGACAGACAGACAGATGAAATAGATAATTTATCCCTCCAACCACCCCACCCACTCCCTATCCAGCCCCTTCACCACCCTCTCCAACTCCTCATCTCGCATCATCACCCCCGTCTCCACCAAAGCTCCAGGCAACAAATACACCACCCTCGCCTTCTCCCCCTCCCCATCTCCCTCCCCATCCCCTCCTTCCCTATTAGTAGAAGTCATCCCCCCAAAATGCACCTCATCCAAAAAATACCCCATCACAACTCTACACCGTCCACACCGCAGGAACAACCTCTTCTCGAAGCCATCTTCCCTGCGCACGAGGGTATGTTTCCGATCGGGGATAGTGGTTGAGAGAAGAATCGTGTAGTGTTTTTGTTGTTGTTTCGATTGTTCATCGTCGTCGGTGCTGTGATCGCGCGGAAGAGGGAGGATTATCGCCCCGTCTTTTGCGGGGGATTTGCGCCGCGGGAGGGATGGGATTGAGCGTGTTGTGGCGAGGAGGAGATGGTTGCAGAAGCGGCAGTGGTGGGTTTGGACGGGGAGGCGGGATGAGGAGGGTTGTTGTGAGGATGTGGTGGATGTGGTGGTTGTTGTTGTGGTTGGTGGTGGTGGTGTTGGGTTGTCTGGGGTTGGGGTTGACATTGTGGGAGTAAGTCTTGAGTAGGTGGGTAGTTGGTTTTGTGGAAGTGCGGTAGGTGTGATATGTAGGTTTGTTGTAGGTTATCGTTGTGTGGTTGATTGAGGAGTGTGGTGTGGATGGTGGAGGGAGCTGGTGGTGATGACGGTGATGTGAAGTTCAATGTTGGGTGAGGTTTTCGGCTTATCGATAACGGGGATGGTCAGTAACGTACTGTCCTATGGAAGTAATGAAACTAGCTAAAGGCAACCAATTCACTTGGTATTGTGTATAATAGGCAACCAAAGGGTTCATGGAAGAATTCTCAATGTTTCCTTGTTTATCATCTTGAAATGAACCTTTTTCATTTCTTCTTCTTTTTTTTTTTTTTTTTTTTTATTTGTTTTTTTTGGTTTGTTTCCCCCCAAGGTGACCATGCATGAGGTCAGATTAAGTGCAAACTAGAGAAATCAATAGGACTTTGTTAATTTTTCTTCGATCATCTGATGGGCCATATGCTACATACTACTACAATATGAACTACTAAATACTAAATACTACTGAAGTACACTAGTACTTACGACTACAATGATCGAGCAGAGATCACAGAGGATGTGGCACTAGTACTAGCATAATCTACAGCATGATGCCACGAGCCTACTAGTAGAGTCCGGGGTGACCGAACATCTTGAATCGGGATAAAAATCGAAAGCAGCAGGTCACATGTGGGCTACATCGGGAATTGACAGACAGCCAAAAGTCACTTTTGCACCTTCCAAGTAATGAAATCGTGCTTCTGCAACACTAGTACTCCTTCGTAGTTATTTTGCTTATGTCTTTTCTAGGCTACACTCTATGCTTGCTTTTTGGGAAGCGTTACCCGAGCCTAAAACCCCATCCCAGCCTACACGTTGTCCATTATCTCTGTGGACAATCTTCAATGGCTGAGATCTACCAACCTTTTTACCGTCAGCCCTGAATGAATCTTGTGTGACACGGCACCATTGGCTAGCCGGCAGTGGTTGCAGACGGAAGACTTCTTGTACGAGGGTGTGATGAACCTGCAGCATTACCCTGGTACCAGCCAGCTGTGACGATCGGACTTTGCCTGCGATGCGATGCACCATACTACTTAATCCTTTTGTCCAATAGGAGTGTTCTTTCCACTCCCCAAATCACTAATGCGATCTCTAGTTCCGGACTCGAAACAATACCAATACCTTATCCCACCCTAAGTGCCATTCCCTTAGAATACCCACATTCCTAGAACCCGCAAACAAGGATTTGGGTGAACTCAGGCCAAGATGTGTCTATTGATACCCGGCATAAGCGATTTCCCTGGTGTGGTAATCCAAACCAGAGTAACTGTCTGCCGCAAGCTATTTCGTGAACCCTCGGGTAATGCGGCTGTGAACCGGAACAGGAGCGTCAGGCACCGCTACAGGAAACTCGGCCAGCACGAATATTTTCTGGCACTGTACTCGTAGTGCGGCTCGGATATCATTGCTTCCCTTGTTAATTGAAGAAGTTACATCCGCTCTTGTGGCGCTTCGGCACCTATCGCGGCCCTTCCACTAGCCACTACTACCACCACGTATTCCGCGCTAATCCAAGAAATCGATGAACAGTGGGGCCTTGGTCACGTAGCTGAACTTTCTCAGCCTGAATTATAAGATAACCGAGTCATCGACGTTAGTTTTTTTCAGTGTGGCTGGCTGGGATTTTGGGCTGGGATATTGTTGAAGGGATCTGCTCTACAGTAGTTGTCGAACAACACATAGCTCGCCTGCTTTAGATCGTAGACATGTTGAGTCAGTGTCTCCATATCCTCGCTCTACACTGACTCCTCAGATTGGAGACAACATCGATAAGGGCCGAGATAACCGCATACGGCCTACGGAGATTAATGGCGCCGTAGTGCCAGCTGAAGGTGGAAGATCTTGACAATCAAGTGGAGACCAGAACGAGTCAGGACTAAAAAGAAAAATTATTACCCCGTATTGCTCTAGGCGATGACCCCTCTGGGCATCAATTCATTCGCTTCAGCTGAGCAAGCTGCGGTGAACTAGCCGATCTGATGGTAGCTGGGCTTGAACTAGTCGGACATATCAGATGTGAGGGGTATATCAATGGCACGTTCCCGGACAGTGGCCATCCAGCAAGATCTTCTACTACTAAACTCTTCGAGCCACAAAATGGAGTCTTCCCCGTTCAATATCACAGAACATGTTGTTGATTGCCAGCATATCCGAGAGTATGCCCGCGCGACTCGAGATAGCAACGATGCACTAAAAATTGCGGTCAAGCAATACACGCCAAAGTCGAATCCAAATCCCCAACCTGGTGATGTGACCATCATTGGGGCTACTTCTGTTGGATCCCCTAAGGTGAGTCGGGACGTATCTTTTGCGCTGTATAAAAGTGCACTTCAAAATGTGACGCCAGAAAATGTAAAATCTAAATCAATGCAATGGCACAGGAACTAAAAGAGCCGCTATGGGAGGAGATATATGAAAGGTTAAGCCGCCAGGGACTTCGCATTCGCTCTATCTGGATTGCAGATTCAGCCCCACAGGCTGAGAGCGCGGCCATCAATGCGGAATACCTAGGGTTTGAGCGTACGCTTTCGAAATGCCTACCAGCCCATTCTCCCCTAATTAACCCTATCCTAGCATCATGGTTCGACCACAGTCGAGACCTGCTCTACATGATCAACCAATATAAAGATGATATGCCGAAACCTATCATTGGTGTTGGACATAGCATCGGAGTTGGGCAACTGTAGGTTTTCCTCTCTCTCTCTCTCTTTCTACACCTGTACTATACATGAATACGATTGAAGACTAATACACTAACGCGATCCACCAGATTGGGTCTAACCCAGATGCACCCCCGGCTTTTCACTTCCCTTATCCTCATAGAACCAGTGATAGTAAAGGAATTCATTTCTGGAAGAGGCCCAGGCTTTGCCAAAGCAGCGCTGATGAAGAAGGATACGTGGAAGTCCCGTGCCGAAGCAGATTCGTACTTTAGAGAGACACTCAACGAATGGGATCCACGATGTCTTGATCTCTGGCTCAAATATGGCCTTCGAGACAACACCGCCGAAACCGAGAACTCAGAGTCGACAGTCGGTCTAGCTACCACCAAAGATCAAGAGATTGCACAGAGCTTACGCCCCAATTTCATCGACTTGCAACCCGGCAGCAACCAATCGGAATACTTACACGATCCCTCATTCTGGACCGATGTGACCGGTCATTCGGAAACTCTTCCGTTTTACCGCTATGAACCGATCGTCTTATGGAAACTACTCAAATACGTCCGGCCATCGGTACTATGGATCTATGGCGGAAAGAGTATCATGGCAACACCGGATCAACGCGCAGAGAAGCTCCAGCGGACTGGAACAGGGGTGGGGGGTAGCGGTGGCTACGAGAAGGGCCGCGTCAAGGAGATCGTGATACCGAATGGTGGACACTTCGTTCCGTTCGAGGATGTGGCAGGAGTCGCTGGACCTGCTGCTGAATGGATCAAACAAGAGACGGACAGATGGCATGACGAAGAAGAACGGATCAAGAAGGGCTGGCTGGATTTGACCGCGAAACAGAGGTCGTCAATCCCCAACGAGTGGCTTGCGCAGATGGACAAATACTTTATGAAGGGGAAGGCGCGTAAAGCGCAAGTGAGGGCGAAGCTGTGAGCAGGATTGAGTTGTCACCAAAAGCAGGGAGATGAGTCAGTGTCAGTCAGTGCGCCTGGAAGTATTTGCGAGACAATTTGGAGAGTGTTCTTTCGCATAGAGTTTAGAAGCATATTGCTAACCGCAGTTGAAGTTGTGGGTGGACAATCCCAATAGACGTGGCTAATCCTGAATCGAGCTGACTATCTACCCCCCCACACATATATATAAGTCCCACTAGTTGATGCAACTTGCAAGCAGTGTAAAAAAGACCCTCCAATAACGTTGAGATCCAATAACAATTAGTAGACATTTACCCATCTGCAGGAAACGAGGTATCGGTCACCTGACATAAGAGTCGGTTCTCCGCGCGGCCGGGAAGCCGATGATCGCCTCAAGCTCTTTCATGGAAAGAGACCGATCCATGAACAAAAATGCCACCACCAGAGCAAAGGGCTTCCACGCCCACCTCTTCACGACTAGCTGGGAGATCACCACGGGTGCTTGCATGCGTGCTGTGCCAGCAGCGCAAAGTCAAATGCGACCGCAAGTTCCCCTGCGCCAACTGCGTCCGGGCCGGCGCGCAGTGTGTGCCCACTCTTGGCCCGCGCCCGCGGCGTCGCAGGTTCCCCGAACGAGAGCTCTTGGATCGCGTTCGGAGGTATGAAGACTTGCTGCGCCAGAATAATATACCTTTTGAGCCTTTGCATGCTCCTGTAGCGGAAGATAGTAGGGTGCTGGAGACTGGTTACCATGCTCGTTCTGAAGATCCTATGGTGGGGGAAGAGAGGGACGTGGCTGTCAAGGCTGAGCCAGTATACGCGGCTAAGTTGTGCTTCCGCAGTAAGGTTTGTTGAGGTCGCGCTGATTGTTGTATAGGAATTATTGGAAGGTTCTCAACTCAGTGGTATGTACCTTTTCTTGACTTGGGATGAACTACGCTTACAGTGGACGTCAGTCTCAAGATGCTGAGGAGGCCGATTCCGATGATGACAGTGAGGATGGCAATGATCTCACTCACTACCAGTTCACTCTGGGAGGGAATGCCGTGAACAAGATGTTTGATGAGGCGTACAAGAACAGCGACGAGGGATTTATATTTGGATCACGCAAAGCCAATGTGGATCTGTCGACATTGCATCCTGATCAAGTCCAGATATTCAAGCTCTGGCAGATTTACTTGGACAATGTCGACCCGCTGCTCAAAGTCACGCATACCCCAACCCTGCAAGCACGTATTATTTGTGCTCTTAGTGATCTGACTCGTCTAAGCTCGGAACTGGAAGCACTCCTGTTCAGTGTGTATTGCGTTGCTATTATGAGTCTCGACGATGAAGAGTGCCGGACGTCGTTCGGGTCTCCGAGGAAAGAGCTTTTGCGAGGATATCAATTTGGATGTCAACAAGCCTTGCTCAATTGTAACGTGCTACGCACCGGAGATCGCGAGTGCTTAACTGCGTTGTTTCTCTATCTGGTTAGTCCGTCGAGTGACTTTGTCGTCGTTTGCGTGTCTAACCATTTCAGGTGTCTGTGAGGTATGAGACGGATCCGAGGTCTTCATCTTCGATGCTTGGAGTTGCTATTCGAATTGCTCAACGCATGAGCATCCATGACGAAAAGGCAAATGCTAGGTGTACTGCGCTGGAGGGCGAGATGCGCCGGAGGTTATGGTGGTCGTTGATTATGTTTGACAACCGCATTGGCGAGATGTCGGACCACAAAACTTCAATGTTGATCCCAACTTGGGATTGCAGCAAGCCTCGCAATTTGACCGACAATGATTTGCAACCGGAGATGAAGGACTTGCCAGCTGCTCAAGCAGGTCCGACCGAAGCGTTGTTCATAGCTGCGCGCAGTGAACTCGGAGAGTTTCTGCGGCATAGCGCCTTTCATTTAGATTTTGTCAACCCTTCCTTAAAGGCAGTCGCCAGGGACACAAAGGGTGATGGCATGACTGATCTAGAAAAGAGGATAGAGGAAAACTACCTCCGACTCTGCAATCCAGATAATCCGCTTCACTATTTGACGATCTGGACGATACGTGGCTTCCTTGCAAAACACCGTCTGCTTGAAGAGTACTCGAGATTTTCGCCCGCGCAGCAATCAGAAGCGCAGCGCAACATCGCCAGCTCCTGTGCAATGCGGATCCTCGAGTCCGATACCAAGCTGATGATATCCCCCCTCACCAAACGGTACCGTTGGCATGTTCATATGTACTTCCCGTTTCCTGCACATCTGCATTTGATTCAAGATCTGAAGAAGCGACCAATGCAAGAGCACGCTCATGAGATGTGGAAGGCCATGAGCGAAAACGCCGAGATACGCTTCGAAGACATGCATAGATTCCATCCGCTTTCTGAGATTGTGTCGCGAGATATTCTTCAGGCCTGGGAGGCGTATCAAGCAGCATCAGGGGGACATGGAGAAACGGTATCGCCGCCATGGATTGTTAAGAGTGCTAGAACAAACTTCAACAATCCGAATAACGATACGGGAAATTGCAGCGCAGAGCAGCCGAATGACCTGGAGGTCGCCCCTTCACTCTCCATGTCTACGGAACATGGTATTCCTAATCTGCTATCCGGCATGGAAGGATTTGGCAGCGCAGCTTCCGGGTTCGGTGGATATTCGGACATATTTGAACAGGCTGTTCTGGAGGGTGACGCGTATCAGTCAGGCTGGCCCACGATGGGCTTCTACCCAATGTGGTAGGGGTGATCAAGACTAAGCCTCGTTATTGCGTGCCCAGTACGGCTGCTATTGAATTGCGGATCAAGCGGATCGAATATAATAGTTCGACTGACGAGAAATTGCGATCGAGTTGTCATCGCGTTGTTCGCCCTTCTTCTTGGGAACTAATTTCATACGATAAGTCTGATCCAGGTCCATTTTAAAGGCCCAATGGAGGTCATGCGGAGAAGAGTGTCCAACGCATATGTGAGTATGCTCGCTCACTGTTGCTTGGCTGAAGCATTCAAGAAAGGCGCTGATGATGCACTTCGCCAAATTTCAAGTATAGCAATTGTAGCCACCAGCAATGCCTTGTGCACCAAATAAGCACGGTACCATTGCTAAGGAAGTGCAGAAGTAATACAAATGTTCAATCTAGTTTCACAGCATGATCTTGGGGGCGCAAATGGTGCCTGGCGCCACTCAGGGGCTCCGGCCCGGAGCGGAGCATGGAGCAGCCTCCGCTCACTGCATCTCCGGTTGATACAATCTGACTAGGCGAGTCTGCCTGCCTGTCACATATTTAGATCATATTAATCGGATGTCCGGCTTGCCTATTGGGGGCTCATCAGTGGATCGAATCCTTCCGCTTTGCCCGATGGTCTTTCCCTGTGGGCCGTCGACGCGATGGCAGTGCTGCTCTGCTGCTCCGTCCCACCTATTGCAAGGCTAACAGGACCGAAGACTCACTAGCAACCACCAACCAGCCATGGCTGCAGTCTCAAATCCCCTATTGGTCACGCCAAAACTTGGGGTTCGTCAGCCTTGTGTCCCGCCGCTACAACCCCAAGGCCCCCCTCACGCATTGCACATGTCCCAGGTTCTCTTCAAAACCCTTCTTCCATTTCCTGACTTGAAAAGCTGCAATATTGTATCGCGCAGCCATGTCTCGAAAGCCCACTACATCAGAACCGACGAAGCGGAGGAGAGCAGGCGGCACAAGGTCGCGGAATGGGTGTCGCACCTGTCGGTAAGTCACTACCATTCAGTCCTCACTCGACTGCCGCGGCCGCTCATTCCTTTATCGCATGCAACAGCGCCCGCCGTATTAAGTGCGACGAAACTCCAAACCAATGTAAAAATTGCACATCAACCGGGCGCTCCTGCACCTATGACATCCACCGACTCCCGCGCGCAGAAAATAACACGCACCGTCATCCCCAAAACCTACTCACTCAAGTAACGGATGGCTTCCGCTGGGCGATAACATCCGACGAGCGGCGCTGCTTCTCGCACTTTCAACACTTCACAATCCCAGGATTACTGGAACTCTTCGACTCGGAACTATGGAAACAGCTCGTTCTTCAGATCAGTTACTCCGAGCCAGCGGTCTACCACGCTGCGGTAGCCTTGAGCGCCGTACACCAGGACGTTGAGGTATCGGGGATGCCATTGCCAGGCCAGACTCGGCAGAATATCTGGCAGAAGTTTGCGCTCGAACAGTCCGCACGCTCGTTCGGGATTCTGAGTCGACGGCATGCGAGTGATCCCCGCTTGCGAGAAGTCATGCTGCTCTGTTGTCTCCTGTACTCGCTCCTAGAGCTCCTACAAGGTCAATACGAGCGAGCATGCCACCACCTCCAAGGCGGCCTACGCATCCTCCGAGAGCTCAAAGTCCAGGAGCCTCTAGCAGACGAGACCGAATCACCGGTGGAGAAATGCTTAGTAGCAGCCTTCGTACAGCTCGATATCCAGTCGACATATTACGGCGTCGACGGGCCTGTCCTTTGCGTGGACAACGAACTAGGCAAGTACCAATGGCAACTGAAGGAATCCGACTCCTTCACAAGCCTGATCGAGGCCCGTCAAGCCATCGAGCCCCTAGTCAGTGGCGTATTTCGATTCACATCGCAATCCTGGCCATTATCACCCGCCGACGTAGCAAGAGATTACAACTCCCTGCTCCCGCGGCAATACCAACTCCTCTCACAACTAACCCACTACGCCGAACTATTCATCCCATTCTACAGCCACGCATACCCCACCCTCACACAAAAAGAGCAACGCGGCTCCGACATCATCTACATCCTCCACCGGACCCTCACATTATCCGTCAAAACCTGCCTCCTAGCCAAGAACCCCGCCGTACTCGACCTCTACACACCAGAGTACCAAGAAGTATTATACCTCGTCGAGGCACTCTTACAGCGCTACCCGGAACGCCCAGCATTCACACTCGACGTGGTCATCCTACCCAGTCTATACCTGATCTCATTCGGATGCTACGATATCCGGGTACGACTACGCGCCATCGAAGTGCTGCAGCAATGGCCGCATCGCGAAGGATTGTTCGAGTCGAAGTGGACATCGTTCCTCCTACTCGAATTTGTGAAAGCGGATATCAAGAAGGATGCGGAGAATGTGCCAGCAGGAACGATGGATGAGAAGTCGGATGCTGGGTCAATTTCCACTGCGAGCTCGCCATCCACTACGGTGGATCAGTATATGTCTACTGTGGGACACATTGAGCGCATTCAGCAGCAGATCATGAGTGGCCAGGAATTTGTCTTTCAGGATGCCCTGCAGAGCGCGGATTATTTGACTTCGTGGTCGTGTGTGAAGGCGATTGCGCCGAAGAGGGGGGCGCATGCTTAACTGAATACATCATACTGTGCCCACCCTATCTACAATATACTAAATATAGTATCTTAGAAAAGTGACACACATTGCTAATGATCACCACTCAAGAACCACAATGATCCATCTCCTCCCACCCCTGCCTCAACCGCGCATAGCACTTCTGCATCGGCCACGAATGCAAATCACGCGTCCGATCAATAATCCCAACCAGCGCTTCACGCTCCTCCCACTCAGTAAAATACTCCCCATAGAGAGTAATGGCTATCACGGCAGTGACTAACGCCGGATGACAGTGCGCGTGGTGCACCGCAATGCCGCATATTCTGAGCACGATGGATCGGACTTCTGCTTCTGCTTTGCGATGCGCGGCACGGGTGGAGTTTCTGATACTTTAGTTAGGACTTTGGAATTTGGAATTTGGATTAGGATTTGGATTTTGGGTTATGGATAAGGGTTGTGGAACGTACGATAGGTATGGATTCTGGGCCGTCAGGATCATATTAGCTATCTCGAGGTGCTGCACTGCAGTCACTTGCTCGTCGGAGCTGTACCAGATTGTCGGGAAGAGTTCGCCGCGGGATCGGTCTGCTTTCTTTTCGAAGAGGGGTGCGAGGTCGTGACGGTAGTCGTGTTGGAGTTTGCGGTGGCGGAGCATGAGGCGATCTGAAGGCAGTCAGAGATGCTTAGCATGATAGTTGACGGTACGAGAAAAAAGACTAAGTTTGGATAAAGGGACCACGAACTCCATTCCTCACGCGTACCGTCACCCCAGCGCCACTTTGTCACTTCACTAGCGAGCATTACTAACGTGTTTGCAACAGAAGCCTTTCGCCAGTCTTCCGGACTGAATCGCATCTTGGGTGCACGCTGCCTTGTCAACGCGTAGTATACCTCCTGTCGGATAACGATCCAATACGCCGCCGTAGCGAGAGACTGTTCCAACCGGTGGGATATCATAGCGTCGATGATTCTCTGCGTGATGGCTAAGAAGTTCACTCTGTCTTGCGTGGACATGTCGTGGTCCTCGATATCCTCTTCCATTTCTTCGTATTGGCGGAGAATAACCGTGGCGACCATTATGTTTTCTTGTTCCGTGGGATCGGTTATTTCGGGGAACTGGAGGAGTTCGGGGATGCATTTGAGCGTGTATTCCACGGCTGTACATTTCTGCAGATTGGGGAGAAGCTGTCCGCGATAGCAAATCCCATTGGGTGTTGTGTACTGTGGGAGGCGAGATAGGTGGCGTGCTGAAACTGCGAAGAGAGCGTTGCGGATGATGGAACAGTGTTGGGCTCGGCGAGGGACTACTAGTTGGAAGTGTCGACGGTCGTCGCAGTGGTCGAACTGAGGTGTTTTAGTTGAGTAGGTATCGTAAGGCATTGATGACTTACCCAGGGTGATATTTCCTCGATGAAATGGCGTAGGAGACAGGCTTCTTGTACGCTGGTCTGCGCGGGCTCGGGAGTGGAATAAACATTATTGGTTTCAATTGGGTTTGGTGACGGTTGCATTCCATTGATCGAGGGATTTCTATTAGGATTGTTCACAGTATCCCACTCGAGTGTAACATAAGACCGTCCGTTGACATTAGCCATATTCCCGGATACGGAGGTGCGAAAGCTATTCCGTGATGGGATATAAGGCGAAGTTTGAAATTCCAAGTGACTGCCACGATGACTGCCATCATCGCGTGTCCAGATAGGACCATCTCTTTCATCAGATGTTGGCGTTTCGCATTGCACTGCTGGCTCCTGGTATGGTGATGGACTCTGAGCCACATCCAGGGACTCTGGGAGTGAAGAGTCTCCGGAGAACAGCTTCCATTTTCTTGGCTGGCTGCTCATCCAAGATTGGTCTTTCGAGAAACTCCCATCAAGCCGGGCCGTCGACCCTTGACGAAAAACAGATTTTCGCTGGACTGGCCTACAGACCAAGTCTTTCTCCTTACATCGGGTGCATGTCGGTTGTTGTTTATCACCTGCACTCAAGTTGAGCAGATATTGGGCATGTTCAGGTTCGAAGCAGACCTACATCTCACGTGTTTCTCTGGTCAAATAGCATTAGTATACATTGAACGGATGAGTGATGCTTCTAATTCCTACCGCGGCAGTTAGAGCAAGGCGTCCGTGCCAGTGTAGACGGCAAGGATGGTGGCATTGTTGGATGTGAAGCAATTGGCGGTAACGGCAATTCGACGGCGCGGCCTACTCTTTTGGGCCAAAGCCGCCTTGAGGGGAAGTTCCCCACATCCCCGCATTCCTTGAATTCTCCCACTAAGCATAATCTCATCAAGATAGATGTTTCATTTCACTAACAATTCTATGAGCTTCGGAGCTTGACAGGATTAATGCAAATCGTTGCAGTTCAGTCGCTCGCCATTTTCGTTAAACCGGACTACCTCC